TTACTTTGGTAGCTTGCTGTACTTTTGGTAGCTTGCCAATATGTTCCTAGCAGAGCTTCTGTATCGCCGCACATGCCGCACCTTGTAGTGGTGGGAGGAGCCCAAAACGGCATCCACCTCGAAGATGCAAAAATAGGAAGCCTCGAAGATGACTACACAGCAATTCATTAGTGAATTAGTGCACGCCTGTGACTTCCCTTCAAGTTGTGCTTATCAAGTTAATATTTACTGGCGATCAATGCTTCTAGTATCTCACCCTGTTGAAGAGCCTCAGAAGATCGGGATACTGTCCATGAGTGTCTCCACATATTTTGACAGGCGAATCAAGCTCAACCATGGAAGGTTGAGAGAGAAACATTTCGCGCGCTTTGCCTGAAAAAGATTATTACTAGTCGGAGTTCTTCACTTGTTGACAGCAACTCAAAATACAGTCAGAATAGAGAGATCAGGTCAAGTTATGGTGTATCTGACCAAACGCCTAGGCTACAGTCTTGTTCGCTGCAGTTGCTTGGGCGTGTCAGTGGAGCCGGGTATGTCATAGCGCCATCAATTTCTGTCGTTTTCTCACTTTTTACGTCCGGCTCCACTGACATGCCCCAGCACAGAACCTTTTAGCATTGCAACGAATGATTGAAAAATGACTCTCGCTCTACAATTTCAATCCATTTAATCCGCTTACACTCTAGTTTTCATACTGACCTGGGTGACATGCAGAGACTGGTCCGATCTTCCGTATATCTTCAACTTGCTATGCAACTTTAATTCAGAGAAATGCTGTTTCGCAACACTTGTTCTCAACCTTCAGGCAGCGTTCAGACTTCGAGTGACGAGCGTCGTCGCGCTACGGTTGCAGCAGCGCTCGAAAGCTATAGAAAGGAACACAGCCGCAGACGACTGGTGCTGATCGCACTAGTCTGTGTGACTAGACAACAACTATCGCCCTCAATCCCCTCCACCCGTCATCGGGAAGTCTGAACGCTGTACCCAAAAGCGCTCCAATCACCATGTTGCTTGGCAAACTGTGAGGTGAAAAGGTGTCAAACATTCTTAGCGCCCTCAATGAGCGACTAAAATGGCAATGCCACTTCAGTGGCGTTCTCATCAGAAATTGTAAAAAGGCGCATTGGGATTTGGCCGGTAGTACATAAGCATACGGAAACATAAGTCCTGGGCGATGCAGAAGTTTTGCTCCTCACCCTTTGTGAACATTTCTGCGTGAGTCATAGATCTTACTTCAAGTCATAGTGAACAAAATGTGCTGGATTTGTACCTCTTCGTGTGGTAGGT